GTGGAGTGATGCTGGTCGTAGTGACTTTGAAGCCTTTTCGTGCTCTATCATATAAAGCTACTGGTAGCTACCTTAGTCTGGGTTTCCCCACTGTGTAAAGTTTATTTTTGTTTGTTTTTGCTGAGCTGCTGTAATCTTTAAAATATATCATTCAGAAAAGTGAACAGATAATAGTCATCTACCTCAAAAGTCTGGTGCAGAAAGCTAGACACCGTGGTATTTTAGGGGAATCAGTATGAGAATGTTGAATGAGTGATACTAAGTGCATGTTGGTGATCTTTTGTATAAGAATTGTCGGAAATACAGCAGAGAACTTTTATCAACAGTTGACTTAAGGACTTATCCAATGGTCTTTAGCTTAATGAGGAAGAGCCAAGAGTGCTGTATCACAGGAAGGCACAGGATGTCTTTTTACAATGATTTTTAAATTATTCTATTTGAAATATTCAATAGCATCTCTAATGCTCACTTTGTGAATTTCAGGCACATTACGTGGTCCAGGCAAGAAGATCCAGGAGTGTTACTAGGAAACGTAAACGTGAAGAATCGGAACCCCCTAAGTCTGCAGCACGCAGTCGCAGTTCCTCTCGCACACCACGTGACACTTCCGGTCTGCGAGATGCAAAGGTTTGTTTTAGTTCATTAACGTTATCTAAACTTGACAGTAACTGCTACAATACATGGTCACATTTACAGATATTTTTAATAGAATATAGATGAGGATTTACTATTTGTACAAAGTTTCAAATGATCTTCAGTGAAACTTTGCTCTGGTCTCTTTTCAGTATATATTTTGTGGAGGGATATGTATTCTCCATGATTTAAAGTCAGATATTGATCTGATTCCATATGCACACTGAAAAATGACAACATATAAAGATAAAATGTAGTAATACAAAATGGTTTAAAAATGTTTTTCACAAAACATACTTGGTAACGCTCAGATTTTAATAAATTTATTTTTAGACACCTGAGAAGGAGAGGCAATCTAAATTGAAATGGAATTCATTATTAACTTCACACATCTCAGAATCTGACACTTAAATCCTGTGTCTAAATGTTCAGATTCCCAAAGCTATCATTAGTTCACTCTTAATATATTTGGAAATAGGATGCTAGCCTGAGTTTTTCTTACAGAAGGAATTTCTAACTGAACTAACTTTGTTTGGAAAGGAGATTCGTTTCCCTTTTGTCACTTTTTCTTACATGTGGCCTTGAAAACCCTCTCTTTGTCTCTAACTGCGGAGATGATGTTTGTGCTTGGCCTTTGTTTTGATATCTCCTTCTTGACGTTCTGCAATTTGGGTTTGCTAGACTTTTAAATAGAATTTTGTTTCAAGTTTCTTGCTTAGGAGGAGAAAGAAAGAATCTCTCTTAAATGTTTATTTCTGTTTCAAATAGATGGTGAAGAAGGTTAAGACTATCATGAAGAATTCTCAAAAGAAAATGAATCGCTTGGGCAAGAAAGGAGAGGCAGATAGGCATGTGTTTGACCTTAAACCCAAACATTTACTGTCTGGGAAAAGGAAATCTGGTACAACACAGAGAAGATAAAACATTTTTCTGAATTAAAACTACTTTGCTGTCCTGTTTTTTTCCCCCCCTAATAAAAACTAGACCGTATAATCTGGAAACAAAAATAATTATTAAAGAAATGGAGAAATCTTTCCTTGGGTAACTATTTAGATCTAAATGTACAGAGGGAGAGTTTGACATTTTGGTTCCATAGTCCAAAGTGGGTTAGTAGAACCATGGGAAATTGATATGACTATCACCACTAGAACCAGAGTTTTGAATGGACGTCAGGTTGGCATCAGTCCAGATGAACCGTCTGAATAACTACAGAAGTTGAGGGTATTAAACCCAAATGGACTTGAGATGTTGTCATAAGAAAATAACCGTAACGAGAAACTTCACATTAGCTTGGCCAGTTAAAATGGTCTTAAGGATATTTTACATCACAGTGGTTCCAAAAATACATTATTAACAATAACAAAATAACAGTAATATTTAGCATTATGCCACATGCACAGTATTACAAATAGCTTGTTATATGAGATTACATACTTATTCAGCACATGCAAAGCTGGAGATTTTAATACTATCTTATATTAAAAAAAAATCCAATGCTATAGAGCACTTAGGTTTTTTTAATGATCATGATTGAAACATTTGCTTGTTTCTGTACTAATTTGCATATGACTTGTTATAAATGAAAAATAGGAAAGAATACATGTTCTTTAGTAAATCAATAGGATCTGTTATCTTTGTTCTCAGCTCAGCAGGAGCTTGTTTCATTTATTGTGTTAGGGCATTTAATTTAATTTACACTGTAAGGTAGAGGTGGGTATTTTTAAAATGAGGTACTTTTTGCAGTAATAGACGTAAAACAAACTATTAAAGACTTCATGCTGGGGAGCTTATGCTTAGACTTTCCAAACTATAGAGGAGCACAGTGCTAATTCTCTACAATCCTAAAATAAAATAGCAAGTATATTTTCTCCTGGCTCTGGGAAAACTGTTGATGGTCAGAAGGGCTGAGTGATACTGGCTATCTCTGTCTGACAACCACGCCCCTCTTCCCCACCACGTCCCTAAACACACACACGCTAGCCTCATTATGTATAGTATTAAAGTAAGAAAAAAGCAGATGTTAAAACCTCCAGCACTAATATAAGGAAATATTTTGGCATAAGAATTTGATTAAAAAGTATATAATAATTTAAAACTTGCAAGAGTATAATGTTTAGAAAGGGGAGACTAGAACTTTGCCTTTTACACTCTGGCCAAAATCAGGGCAAGTTTAGCTATAGTACTTTTGTTTCGACATGTTGAAAGTTTGCTCTTTGGCTTTCAGTATTTGTTCCAGGCAAGGTGTACTCTCCCAATTGCTGAATCTGCCACTTTTTATGCCAAAGATATAATCTTGTCTTTAAGTAGTTGACAGTGCCTTTCATCCCTTCATTTGAATTGGGATGTGAATACTCTGTTGTGTGAGTGGGATGTATTTTTTTTAATCTATTTGTTTAATGAATCAGATAGGCAGCATGCACTTTCCATTATTGAACTGTTTTTATAGTCAGTTTATTGTAACATCCCTCTGTTATGGAGTAGAATGGTCTTCCCCATCTTTGGTTTCAGTCTGATAATCAGACTTTGTGTAAAATCTTCAAAAGCAGCTAATGGGACCGTTTTAGTGAAATATTCCTTTAGTTTAATGGGGTATTCATTGAAATGTCTCTAGAGGTACACAAATGCAATTTCAGCAGATGTCCTCTACCCGGATATTTCAGTTCCTGTTTTAATGTGCAAGAACATGATTAGCTTTCACTGACAATACAGTAGTGAAGCACTAGTTGTGATTGTACTGTTGAATTTCTTCTCCGTTTTTTAATGTTAGTGAGTCAAGTTGTGCATTATACATAAACGTATTCCTTTCATTTATGAAAAGCAACAGATTTTTTTTTTTGGCAGCTGTGTTAATACAGCACTTAAGTGCTTTCCCTAGAAGTGCAGGTTATTGTAAATTGAGTTTAGTTTTGTTTATTAAAAGTGTTTAAGCTGTTTTTGTAACAAAAGCCCTGACCTGTGTTAAAATTAATGGTCTTCTTGGGAATCTGTCTTCTTGCCAATGCTCTGGCAAAACTTCAGAATGGGTAATGCAACTGGCAATTGCATAAACTGTCACTTTTATCCTAGAGTGGTTGCCAAGAGTTTTACCCAATGTGACCATCAGGGTCGGACAGAGAAAAGACAGTGATAACTTGTGAAATCTTATGCTCCTACAACTGCATTGACTTCATTGAAGAAGAATGGATTTTACAGAAGGTAGAATTTAGTATTCAGTTTTCAATGCCTTTAGAGCTCTTACACTTAAATGTCTCAATTCAGATCACACCGAGCAAAAAAGCTTATCGTCTTCTAGTTTTGGTTTGAAAAAACTAGTACCTGAATAAACAATATTTTGGTTCAAACGCTTTTAATATACACATCTTTATAGCAACATGGCTCTATTTTAGTGTACAGTATCAGCCAAAACAGCTGTCCTTAGAACCTCTCAATAATTCAAATCATAAGTGTTTTGATATTCCACCATGATCCACTTGTATGAAGTGTGAGACTTGCGTAACCACAGTAGGCTCAGTTTTGGGGGGTGGCAGTTCCATTTTGGTGTCCACAATGTAAACTGAAGGGGGGAAGAGGAGGAAACTAAAGAACCAGGAAAACAGTTGGCTAAAATTAGAAGTGAAGAACAGTGTCAATGGTGACTTGACCCAAAACACAATCACTCTCAAAGGTTCATGTAAAGGACAATGTTTATTTTTGTCATCAGAAGAATTTTAGAAATGAAGCTACTTAATCTTCTACAACGCTTCCAGGGTGCTCCATTAACGATAAGGGAAAAGATGTCATGTGGTCACAAGGTGTTACCTTTAACTAAACCTTTCAAGAAAAGGGTAATAGCGCTTTCCTTGTGCTCTGATTCTAATGGAGAACCCTCAACCTATTTTTACTTTCTTCCACTGTACAAGACTCCCATCACATCACCAATAGTAATTTTAAGTGCATCGAAGTTCAAAGAACTTAGTGAATTACTAAGGTTCTTATATTTGCATTCTAACAATGGTTACGTTTCACTTCTTTCTGTGCTCCTAAATGTCCTTTTAAGGACTGCAGTTAACAGCCTTGTCATTCACTTTTTTAAGGCAAGAACAAACATTTCCATTTCAGTTGTAGTTGCCTTGTATGAAAACATTTAAGTTGAAATTCCATTTTTTGCTTTATAATACCAATAAAATGTTAAGTTATTAAACTTAGTGGAAGTCTTCACTGATATTAGTATTCTACTTCAAACTTATACAAAAGAGCACAGGAACCAGTCACTCCAGGTGATTTTCATATAACTTAGCTATGAGTTTATGTAACTTACATTTTCAAAGGAACACATACTTTAAATTTTCATCACAACTATGCCAGTCTCAGTAATATTTAGAAGTTGTAAAGTTTGTGATCTGTTTACTTTGTGCATTTGATGGCATTTACCTAGTAAATCAGTTTCCCGCCCCCCCGATGAAAGATGAAGAAATGCTAGTTATACTGTGTCCTTGAACTAGTATAAATACAAGTTAATAAAATTCCTTTAATTAACCTAACTACCAAAAGCCTCTGGAAGGAGAAGTCTCAGATTAATTGCCACTGGATGGGTGTTTACATCAGAAGTGGCACTTATTTACAGTCACAATGGAGACAACTAAATGGAGTTAGAGACTAGATTATCCTCCATTCATTGGAGAGAATCACTCCCGGTCAGGTTATAGGCACTGCACTGGAAGGCAATGCAGGGAAGCTTACTTTGCTGTTGCCTATTTTGTCTATCTTCTTGTACAAAACTCATTTCTGCTAATAAGCCTCATTAAATGTATTTCAGTGCCCCTCAAAATAAAGGTTTACAATTTCTTTTCTACACGGGCTTTCTATCTTAGTATTCATTAAGCCCTAAACAAGTTTCGTACTATATCTACTGTTATTTACTTATAATCATCAAGGTTGGCTTTACACTTGAAACTTTTTTCAGCACTTGGGTAACACCACAGTTTGCCTGCTCTGAAAAGATGACTTAAGTTTCCCATGCTGTCAGGCCAGCACCATTCATCAGCTGTAAATTAAAAAAAAAAAAAACCAACCCCCTCCTCCCACCCAAAAAAACCCCAACCCAACTGCCACACCATCACTATGCATAGGTACAGAAATTCCTACAACAGGTACTGCTGATGTACCATTTTTGTCAGTATTCAAAACTTTAAGGATTAAAAGTTACCTTACTGCTTTTAAGACAGCATCCTACTGTTACCCCTCACCACTACATTCACTTAGAGCTTTTTACATTCTGTGTATTTTTTCATGATCCACAAATCTATTTAAATTATGCAGGTTATCCCACCATTTAAAAAGAAAAGTCTCTGCAATTAATTTGAACCAAGGAGTAATCTTGATTTCATTTTTTGATGCTTTTTCCAAGAGTTGTTTTAGTTCTTCCTGTGTCACATAACAGTAGCTTTTGATCTCATTTGGATCAGGATTCAGTGTTACATTCTTCTGCACAAACAAGATGTAATCAATTTCATGTTCTCCCCAGATCCCATCAGAGCGGGCCTTGTAGTGAATTCGCGTTAGATAGAAGATTTCTTCTGGAGTTACCTACAACCAAAATCCTTAATTAACTAATCAGTAAGAGATAGGGAGATACAGCCAAGATATTTTAATGAATATATTTTGGAAGTGGAAAAAACAAAACAGTTATGGATCACCTTTCTGAAGGGACACTGTCAGTTTAAAAACTACTCCAACATATATTTTTGGTCTGGAAAAAAGTTTGAAGCTTATTTCTAATACACAAATAGAGAGAAAAATGCATAATTTTTTTTTGTCCAACTTGGTGCACGTGACAGCATGCCTGTTGAGTTGGCTTCACTGTTTCCCTATACAGCAGTATGCTTTCTCGTTTTGTGTGGGTTTTTCTACATGGAAACAGAATAAATAGTTTTAAATAGTTAAGTAATTAAAAAAATCCAACACTGCCATGGGACTCAGGGACAGGTATCCTTCTTGTTACTCCTTTTAACTTTCATAATTGAGTAGGTACAGCAGCCCTACCCCTCATTGCCAATTTGTATTTTTAAAATCACTGAAATATTGTTGGGTGACTAAGGTTGGTGATTAAATGTCCTTTCCCATGTTAGTAAACAGAGGATTTAAACTGAAATGAGGAAGTCTTACTTTGCACCATGTTATTTACTTTTTGCCTTATATTTAGGTTGAAGGAAGAAGTACTCATGAAGGATCCTTTAGTAGGCAGTTAGACAAGACTTTTAGAATCTGGAACACACTTGTGCCAATTGACTCACCAATATTTACATCTATCCCTAACCAACTGGACCTACAAGGTTAAAAAATTCCTCTTCAGTGTAAGCTTTTGCATACAAGTCATAGCTCGTAGTTATTTTGTGCCAAATTCAAAAGTCTATTTACTGTTCAACAATTTTTCTTCAGGTAAATTATAATCTGTAGCAACACCCTCTATTACCTGTTCCAAGGGAATGCCTAACTCTTCTCTTAATCGCCTCTGTGCTGCTTGCCGAACACCATGGGCATTATTTTCTTGCAGTTCTAGTGGGGTGCTCAGTGGATGGCTGCAACAAGTGTTGGTAAAACAATCTGTAAAAAGTTGGTGTACAGTCAATGTTCAGAACAGTAATATATGTTGCAGAAATCCAGTAGAGAACTAATGCATCACCAGTCAGCATGTTTTTAAAAAGATGTCTGCAATACCCTCCACCTTAAACCCTGAGCATCTATTCCTGCTCCCTTTGTTTGTATGACAAAAAAAAAAGAAACAGATTTCCCCATATCAAATATTTCTAACAGAAGTTAAAATTAACCTGACTTTGGATGTTAGTGCCTTATTTGTGCTGCAGTATCACCTTGGATAACAAATGTTGTCCCCCCTGAGGATCTCATCCACTGTTGCAAGATCAGCAGGCAAAATCCTGTAGACTTTACCTGGAGTGTTTGAAAGTTTAATAAGCAACAGAATCCAAAGGATACTCTCCAGCAGATGGTGCAAATCAGCTCTGAAGAGGCAGGACAAGTGAGTATGAACTGCAAATGCTGCTTGCTTATTTAGGGCTTTCCTATACAAAACTTAGGGCTTGCTTGTCTTCACTACCGGCTGATCAACGCTGCTGCAATCGATGTAGCAGGTATCGATTTAGCAGGTCTTCACTAGAAGACCTGCTAAATCAACAGCAGCGCACTCTCTGGTCAACTCCTGTACTTCAGCTCCCCGAGAAGACTAAGGTAAATCGACCGGAGAGTGTCTCCTGTCAACACAGCGAAAACACCAAGGTAAGTTATTCATGTACCTGGAGTAGCATAATTTAGGTCGACTTATCTCAGTAATGAAGACAAGTCCTTAGCTTGCTGCAAGCTGGGGGGTAAATATACCCCATACTAGCCTGCTGCCGCACACTGAAATTTCCCCAATGCATTTTAATTTACTCTAGTTTCAAAGTGAGTTAGATCAAGGTGCACCAGGGTCCATATAGATACTTAATCCATGGCAGGAGTAGAGTCACACCCTAGCTTGCTGCAAACTAAGCAGTTGCATAGACAAGTCCTTAGATTGGTAGAAAAGAGCACCCACCCACTGCACTGAATGTTTTCACATTAATTACAGATATTGGAGCATGGTAAATGCTTCTAGTTGACCAAACCAGTCTAAATAATCATTAAAACCCAGGTGCAAAGCACTTAAACACATGCTTAAATCCTACTGACCTGAATGGGATTTAAAGCACATGCCTGAGTGCTTTGACTGAAGCAGCAGTCTCATAATACAATGAGATTTTTCTGGAGCAGACAAGATTTAGACATTTTCAAGTCTAAGATAAGTTTCAGAGTTCTAAATGGAAACAGGCATATTTAGGTTTCTCTGTAAGTTGTCTTGCCTATTGTTTTGACATTAGTAAAGAACTAGACTGTGAGAAAACAGACCAAAGCCGAATTTTTTTAGTAAAAAAGGGAAGCACCAGAGAAGGGGGTTGCCTTATGAACAGGTATAGAGAGGGAGAGGTGGGAAACAGTCCCTCCCCCCAACAGAGGGAGCAAGGAGAGGCAGCAGAGCCAGAAGGGAAGAGGTGGGGCCAGAGTCTCTCCCCTTCTGGCCACACTGCTCTGCCCCCAGCCTCTGAAGCAGCTGCAGCTCTGGGGCTGGCAGGCTGCAGCTGTGCTGCTAGGCCCCGCCCCCAGGAGCAGGCTGTAGCCGCGCTGCCCAGCCCGCCAGAGCAGCTCCAGCCAGGCCAGAGACATCCTCCCTTGGCCCTCCACAGATAAGGTGGAAAGGGATGGGATGGGAAGAGTGTGGGGGCCCCGGGCTAGGGATGGGGTCATGTGGGGGGTGATCACTCCCCAGACTCCCAGCTTCTCCCCCGCCAAAAAATTTCCCCACCAGTTGCTGTCCCGGCCCGTCAGGGTAAGCAGCTGGCACGCCGGGACACTTTGTTTACCTAGGTTTACCTCCGTCCCTGTGGACGCTCGAGGTAAACAAACCATCTTGGCCCCCCCAGCGGCTTATCCTGATGGCCCAGGAACCAAAGTCTGCTGACCCCTGAATTATAGGGTCGGCTTCTGAACAGGTTATAAAAATTTTCCATTTTTACTTATCCATCTTGGTGCGGACGGGGGTCAACTTATAAACGAACTGGCTTCTGATCGAGTATATACGATACGTTTGCTTGCTTTAACCTGTCAATAACGCTTATTTCTTTTTCCCAGGTAATAAACCTTTACTTAATTTGTTACAGAACTGCCTTCGGGGATTGTCTTTGACATGAGAGCTAGAGCAGGGGTCTCAAACACGCGGCCCGCAGGGCTATTTCCTGCTGCCTGCCAAGAGACACCCCCCCCTCCCCCCCCCGCCTACCTCCAGGCCAGGGGTGGGCAAACTACAGCCCGTGGGCCGCATCCAGCCCACGGGAATGCCCCCCATGGCCCTGCGCCGCTCCCTGAAGTGGCTGGCATCACGTCCCTGCGGCCGGGGGAGGAGGGGGGGGAAAGCAGAGGGCTCCGTGTTGCCCTGGCTTCCAGGCACTGCCCCCCCGCAGCTCCCATTGGCCGGGAACAGGGAAGCGAGGTCAATGGGAGCTTCGAAGGAGGTACCTGGAGGAGCGGCAAGCAGCACGAGGAGCCCTGCGTTCCCCCTCCCCCAGGACATGGTTCCAGCTGCTTCGCGGAGCAGCGTGGGGGCAGGGCAGGCAGGCAGGCAGCCTGCCCTGGCCCCGGTGTGTGTTGCTGCCACCCCGGAACCCTCCTGCACCCCGTCCCCCAACTCCCTGCCCTGAGCCCCCTGCTGCATCCCACACCCCTTCTGCACCCTGAGCCCCCTGCCTGCACCCCAACCCCCTGTCCTGAGCCCCCTGCCTGAACCCCAACTTTCTGCCACACCCCACACTCCCTCCTGCACCCCACACCCCAACTCCCTGCCCTGAGCCCTCTGCCACACCCTGCCCTGAGCCCCCTGCTGCACCCTGCACCTCAACTCCCTGCCCTGAGCCCCCACCACACCCCTCCTGCTCCCTCTGGGGGCAGGGAGGGGGCGGAGTTGGGGTGGGGACTTCGGGGAAGGGGTTGGAATGGGGGCAGGGAAGGAGTGGGAAGAGGCGGGGCAGGGGTGGGGCCTCATGGAAGGGGTGGAGTGGGGGCAGGGCCGGGGCAGCAAGGGGTGTGTGTGTCAGTGATGCGGCCCTCGGGCCAATGAACTAGTCCTCATGGTCATTTGAGTTTGAGACCCCGAACTAGAGTACCAATTGATCTGGGGCAAGTGACTGGCTTCTTGGAACTGGGAGCAACCTGAATATTTTAGTGTAAGTGACCATTTATCACTAAGTCCAGCTTGTCTGGACGGCAAGATAGACCGAAGAGTCTAAGGGGACTGTGACTCCATGGTAACACCGATACAGTGATTCAGGAGTTCACTTTTGTTACTAGCTTGGTGAAATCTAATTATAGTACATACCAACAGTCTGGGATGTCGGTTCTATTTCTGCCCTGAGATAGGCCCTCTCAGTTGTGAGCCACTCTAGACAGTGTGATAGGGGCACTGTACCTTTTGATCAAAAGCAGTATTTTTGCTACCTCGTGGGTGGGGTGGGGTGGAAAGAGAACCACTAAGACAGCAGGGTCAAGTAAAAGGAGTCAGTTTTTAGATTCAACTCAGGATCACCTTCCAACAGCTAAATATTTTTTTCCTGAGAAACTTCAGTTGCACTTCTTTCCAAGTGGAATCTAAAGAATCAAATTCCATTTGTACAGGTAGTTGCATGGCTTTCCCACTTTGTTTCTTAACTCTTCTCTACTGAAAAAGTTAGTTACAAGCACTCTCTGCACCTGCACAAACATGTCTGTACATGTCCTAGGACAATCTCTCCCTACAAGCCTCTAATCCATGCTATAATTATTCTCTAATGCAAGAAACTGATGTGCCTATACATTGACTTCATCCCCTGGAAAAGCCCAAAACTAATTAACTCTCTCTCCTCCCCCCAAGGAAACTGATCTTAAAGTCTGTAGAGGAAGTAATGGTGGGAAATGAGAGAGGGACACAAACACAGCTTTTTACCTTAGCATGAAATGTTTACATACTAACCTGGAAAAGTAATTTTAGCATCTGATCTCTGCTGCAATAGCAACTTATCTTCTGTATTGAATAAAAAAACACTGAAAGCTCGGTGCAATAATCCTAAAACAGACATAAGAACCATGAATATTAGTCTCTGAAATAAAAGATTTAAGAACTGCAAGTAGAATAGCAAAGATCACAGAACCAGAATAGTTTAATCTTTTAAAGGTTTTTTTCTCAATCATATGTGCTAGAAACTTTTCTTAAGTAAGAAGTAGAAAAAAAGAAACACTTTCGATTTTGTATTTTGACTTATGTTAAATGTTAACTTTTCCTATTCCCAAACATGCACAAGTCTCTAAGTATCTGCTTTCAATATATTATTGCAATTAAGCTCAACATCGCTGAAGCAAGTTTATCTATGGCATGTTTGGGCAAGTCACTACCGAGGCTTAGTCCTTACCTGAGATTTTATATCAGAGAGAGAGAATGTAGAACTGGCTGTTAAAATCCCAAACTTAACTTTGGAAGGCATCCAGCTCTCACAATAATGGGCATGGAATAAGAAGTAGAATTTAAAAATAGAATTTCCCCAAAAATGTTAGCCCTCCGTCCTTCTGCAGGACAAGCTCCTTACTTTTTACTGTGAGTACACAAGAGCAATCTGCAAACCCTTACATGAAATACCATGTATTGGGCCACCAAAAAATATAAGGATAAGCATTCAAGAAGTATACAGACTCATGTTTCCAGTAGACACAAACCAGCATATAAGATTGAGACAAATTCCCTTTTAACACCCCTCTATAAAGTGGTTATATTTTGCCATTTGAAAAAAAAAAAAAAAAAAAAAACTACTAAAATAAAAGTTAATTACTGTCTTCTAAAACTTTTATTTTGTTATAATATATCTATTTGCTTATATTTTATAAGTTAAAATCTAAGTGAGTCAAAAGCATCTAATACAGCACCTTGGCTAACGTTCATGGCCACATGTTCCTAGTACTATTGTCTTTATTCTCCCTTCCTTATTGCCTCCAGTTGTTTGTTATTCCCACTGTAGCATCTTGCTTTAAAATTAGATTGTAAACCCTTCAAGGCCAGGTTTGTGGTTTTTATATATATATTGCACACAATTGTTAACATAATTTCCTATCAATTTAAACTGTACCTTTATCAATGTTTTCATTCAGATGGCAGTTTTTCTTGGTATCTGCACCAATCTTCTTGTCATTTTCATCAATAAGGATACACATCTCTGCCAAAAGCTGCACCTGCTGTTCATCAAGATTATCTGTATTTACTTCAGGCATAGCTGTGGTACTTCTCTTTCCACTGAAAACAGTGATCAAAAGAGACAGTCACTTGATGAGACTGAGAGCCAGCAAATTTAGAACAAGTTAGAAAGAATACTTCACACATCACATGTTCAGCCTTCAGAATTTGCTGTGGACTCTAATACTGTGGATAGTTTTACAAGAAGTTATATTTATCATTATTTTGTTTAGAGAAGGATAAGCAAACCTTATTCTGCTAAACGTAAATGGATTGGCACAGAGATGAAAGTATTGGCTACCCCACAATATGTACTGTACTGCAATATTAGCTAGATGCTTTATGGATTTTTGTCACTCTCCTCTGAAAGAGCAGGTATTAGCCCTAGAAGGAGGCTGGATATGTGATCTGATATAGGAAATCCTGCATCACATGCTACAGATCAGCTTGCCCAAACCAGAGTCAGTGAACTAATCATATGGCCTGGACCAGATGTACATATATGTATGTGAAGGGGACACAGTTGCTTCCCAGATAAAAACACCCAAGGACATACTTGAAAGACAATGGGGCAAATCCATTAGCTTCAAGGACCCAGTCTCCAACAAGTTGCAAAGATTATTTTCAGGGTGGATTTGATTTAAATTTCTCACCTCTATATAGTATTTATTTATTTAAAAACATTTTTGCTGTTAACAAGCAAGTTATCTGTGGAGACACAAATCCACAGTTTGAGAACCGCAAAACTAAGCATCTCTGATGGTATCTTCTAGACTGAGCACTGAGTCCCATTGGGTAGATCGAAAGATTAACCTAAATAATCTATACAGAAGCCCCTGGAGTCCCATAAAATTGGGTTCCTAATCCATTAACTACTGGAACTCATTTACAAAACTTTTCTTAAACATTCCATGAATATATTGTCTCATACTATAGAATTAGAATTTATAATCCCTATTCCATGATGAAATATTTTAGAGCTATAATGTATCTTAATTAAAACTATCTTTAGATAGATTTTTTCCTCAAAAAGCATTACCAAAAAATCTGATTTAAATAAAAAAAAATCTTTTTAAAAATCATTTTTATCCACCCTGATTGTTTTGCCAAAGCTAGAGGTTACCAGATCAAAGGACTATAAACAGCTAAAAAGTTACATGATTCCTGCAAAGGAGGGTGGAGTTGCCAGCCTGCTTAGGGTGTTGTCAGTAAACTCCGCTAGGGAGACAAATTGAGACAGAGAGAGGCTCAATGGAAGACTCTATAGGAAGTCAGATCTACATGTGAAAGATGATTAAAAATCTGATAAGCTACACATGTAGATAAAAATAACTCACAGCACTGGGTCTCCGAGCCAGGGTCAGCTGAGTTGGGCTAACGGGACTTGAGCTGTGGGGCTAAAAATTCCAGTGTAGATGATCAGGCTTGCTCTGGAGCCAGGGCTCTGAGACCACTGTGAGATGTCTTTTATTGCAGTGTAGCAATAATGAGAGAGAGCAGGAGTCTGAGGTGCAGTATGCCCAGAAACTGTAACGTGGGGCAGTGTATTCTAAACCATTTTCTAATTAAACAAATACCTTTTTCATCCTGTTTTTTTCCTATGCCCAAAGTGCTGCAAGATCTGCCCAAGATGTGACAAGTTTATACAGAGACTTTATTCTCGATACAAATCAATTTATACTTTTTAAAAAGGAATTAAAGTTAGTTATAGGTGATTTGTCTTCCCCTATGGCTCCTACAACTGACTGAGGGTTTTGCCATCACCTTTTGCTATTTTTAAAAACTGTTTCATTTTTGCTTTGTGACAAACCCACACTACCGAGTGGAAACAGTGATGACGACTAGACAACGAGTACCATCAAATGCATCAAGGAAATATTTTCCTTTAATCTCTCTCAGTTACAGGGACTCTTCAGTATTGCCAGCAACACTGAGAAGCAGGTCTCCGACTGAGGTATGACTTAAGATGATGGTTAAGAGAGATGATCCGAATTCTCTATGTGAAGGTTAGTTCCACTGCAGCAGTGCCAGCCTCACACACCAACCTACGCAATGGCATGAAAACATCCAGCACAGAAAGATACTCCTGGGCCCTCAGGCTGGGACCAGATGAAGTGGATGAGGAGTTACAGCTAAGGAGGAGATTTGCCCACATTAGAAAGAGTCGGGGGGTGTAAAAAGCCCTTCCATGCAAAATCCCCTCAACCCCACCTATATCCCCCAATCCTATGACACCCCCCTAACCTCCTGTTCCCCTTACACTCCCAAAGCACCCCAGTCCCCAATACCACCCATCCTCCCTTCCCCGACACCCCATCTCAGACAGCCCAGTAGAAGACCCTATAGAAAGTCAGATATACCAAGGTCTCCCAATCCTTTGACACCCCCCAATCCTCTCCCAACACGCTCATCCTCCTAACTCCTGACACCCTCCATTCCTGTCCCCCTGACATCTCCAACCCTATCCTCCTATCCTGACACCCCCACTCCCATCCCCCCGACACACTTACTCCTGTCCCCGACATCCCCACCCACAGCTTCCTGTCCCCCCAACATCCCCATCCTCCTATCCCCTGACACCCCCACTCCTGTCCCCCCCCAAATCCCCACCCCCCATCCCCTGACATCCCCACTCCTGTCTCCCCAACATCCTCACCCCCATCCTCCTATCCCCTGACACCCCCACTCCTGTCCCCACAACATCCCCACCCCCCATCCCCTGACACCCCCACTCCAGTCCCCACAAATCCTCCTAGCCCCTGACACCCCCACTCCTGTCCCCCCCAAATCCCCACCCCCCATCTCCTGACATCCCCACTCCTGTCCCCCCAACATCCCCTCACGGCCTCCTATCCCCTGGCGCTCCCAACCCCCCCATCCTCCAACTCCCCCGCATACCCTACATCACCACCCCCGTCCATACCATGCCCCCGCTCTGCTCCCGTTAGCGACCCCCCATACTGTTCCCCCGCCGCTCCGTTCCCATTACTTCCCTCCCCCCGCGGCGCCGCGGCTGCACTTACCCGACGGGCAGTAGCGGGGTGGGAGCGCGCAGGACCAACCTGCCAACCGTAGTCCCCGGAATCGAGCACAGCGCGCGCCACATCGTCCGTCACCCCGCTCCCGCCAATACCACCGCCCCGAAACCCGCACGTCACCGCATCGCCCGATCGCGCCACCGCGCCTCGGCTTCCGGGCTGGGCTGTGCTCCAGGTAGCCTAGCCAATCACAGCCAGGTACTGACTAACTCGAGTGAGAGTAGACGGAACGGGTACAGCCAATGGCGAGCGAGGGTCAGGCAGCGACTGACCAATGGGGAAGCGAGGATTAGGCTGCGCGTATGGCCGTGGAGAAGTTTGACCCTGTGTCTTTGCCGCAGAAAGAACCTGCGGAATCTACGGGGTTAATCATTAACCCCTGGCGGTGAAGATGAGCTGGAATGAGACTGAAACTATGAGCAGTGCGGTGCTGGCCTGGCACGGCCTGGGCTGTGGGGCCTGAGCCTTTCTTCACAATGGAGCATTAACTCTGAAACCTACAGAGGGTACAGCAAACCTCAGCACTAGGAACCATCATGTCACTAATGGCCATTTTAGCAAAAACATCCAGCGAATGTATTTATTCCCCATAATCCTGATCTGTGACCATGCTTTAGGTGTCCCCCTAAACAAATGCTGTGGGAGCTGGGGAGGTTCTTATTTGCATTGCATTAGCATGTAGGCACGCCTGTTGTGGACTAGGACCTGGTTGTGTTAGGTACTGTACAAACACAAAACAAAAAGATTGTTCCTACCCCCAAAGAATTTACAGTCTCAGACAAGAGACACCAAGGAGATACAGACGTAAGGGGGTGCATAAAGAAAGAGTGAAACAATGGGGCTTCCTGCAGAATTCAGTTTGATTTTGCCGCAGCATATGTGAGTTCTTGGTTAGACTAAGCCAGGGGGTCTCAAACACGCAGCCCGCGGGTGGAGCTCCCCACGCCCCCCCGTTACTTCCTGTCGCCGCCCAACTCCCCTCACCCCCGCCCCCCCCCGAGTTATTTTCTGTGCCTGTTAAGCTCCCCGTGCGCTGCTCCCCAATGTTTGAGGCACCTGCCACCCCCCGAGTGTATCCCGGCACCCACTTGCTGCCTCCTCACTGCCCCGGAGCCTGGAGCCTGCAGCACACGCTGAATCCGCTCCGCTCTGTAGGCTGCCGGCTTCCAGCAGGTCCTAGTGTCCCTCTCACTAGGGAAAGGGCAGGCTGCCCTTCCCCTGTCCTTCTGCCCTAGTCCTGAGCCTCTCTCTTCAGTGAGGTGCTGCCACCCTGGAGTCGCTCTAGGTAAGCGGCGGCAGGTCGGAGCCCGCACCCCGCACTCCAACCCCCTGTCTGGAGCCCCCTGCCACATCCCACACCCTCCTGCACCCCAACTCCCTGTCCTGAGCCCCCTGCCACACCCTGCACCCCAGCTCCCTGCTGCACCTCTCACCTCTCCTGCACCCCAACTCCCTGCCCTGAGCCCCCTGCCGCACGCTGCACTCCTGCAGCACCCCGCACCCCTCCTGCACCGCACACCCCGATTCCCTGCCCTGAGCCCCCTGCTGCACACCTCCTGCACCGTGACTCCCTGCCCTGAGCCCCCATCACACCCCGCACTCCTCCTGCACCCTAACCCCCTGTCTGGAGCCCCTGCCACATCCCACACCCTCCCGCATCCCAACTCCCTGCTGCACCCCTCCCCCTCCTGCACCTCACACCCCAGTTCCCTGCCCTGAGCCCCTGCCATACCCTACACACCTCCTGCACCTCAACTCCCTGCCCTGAGCCCCCATCACACCCCGCACCCCTCCTGCACCGCCTGAGGGCAGAGAGGGGGCAGAGTTGGGGTGAGGACTTCAGGGAAGGCGTTGGAATGGGGGCAGGGAAGAGGTGGGGCAGGGGCGGGGCCTTATGGAAGGGGTGGAGTGGGGGCGGGGGCAGCAAGGGGTGGGTGTCAGTGATGCAGCCCTCGGGCCAATGCACTAGTCCTCATGCGACCCTCATGGTCATTTGAGTTTGAGACCCCTGGACTAAGCAATACAATCATCATATGGAGTACTATAAAGCTATGAAATTAAAGCACATATAGGCCTTTGCTTATCAGAATTAGGGTTTAACATGTTTAGTTATGTGAATAGTGTAAAATATGATGTTCTTACTTGCTCATGTCCTTGTTTTTAAGTGCTTGGATTTGTAAATGACATGCTAACTAAGTTTACTGTTGCTTAGCGATGTTAAATAATTTTGAAACTAAGAGGGTTTTTGGGTGGGTTTCCCAGAGGGTTTATTAAATAAAATGTATTCAATAAAATGTAAAACAATTAAATGAGCTGTTTGCCAAATTAAATTAAAGGTGATGCACAAACCTCTAATGGCTCCTGAGTACCATTGTCTCATTCAGTGCACACTCACCAACAAATTCACATAGCTGCTAACATTCCAAAGAGCTCAGCGTGGACAGAGTTCACCACCACCTGTGAGCCTCTCCCCTAATTCTGTAGGTTGGAGTGTCTCACAGCTAATGCCCTGATCCTCCCATAAATTCTGCAGAGATGGACTCCTGCATTGCATGAGCCCTAATACCTTAAGGTGCTTGAGACCCCAACACACATCTCTGTGGTACAAGAAGTGTCCTAGTTTTTTCATTTTGAAAATCTGGCCACATTCCTCAGTTGCAAAGTGCTACAAATGGAGTGGATACCCCTTCTTAGCACCTCTCAGTTCTCAGCAAAAAATTACTATTATCTGAGAGTTGCCAATAAGCAAAAGGTAGATTTGCAGGGCTGCAGCCAAGGAAGGAAGCATTGGAATGTGTTAAGGCCTGGCCCATGGTGCCAGGGCAAAGTGCAGGTCAGAGAGCGCAACAAGAGGTACCACGCAGCCCTACAGGCCCCCATTCCCCTGCTCTCCATGGAAAGGCTCCACACGCAGGCTGCTGCACCCCGCCCTGCCCCCCGCTGTCCTGCCTGCAGCCTTACCTCCTGTGACATTGCACTCCATATGTTTTATGAAAATATGCTTATGAATGTGAATATAATATAACTGGAATATGCTTTATGCAAAAGGTCTCTTGTAAGGTATCATAACAAAGGTTATAACCTACTGAACCATACCTATTTGTATGTATGTATCATTCTTGTATCTGAAGCTAGAAATATGAAGTATAACTCTGAGGTCCTATTGTAATTATCCCAAGTATGGGCCATTAATGGTGGTTGAGAATCTTGATGGCTCCCATCCCCATTGACTAGGACAATTGGTTGTGAATGGGTTTATTTACCTGCAAGCCTTCCTGTGTACCTGTGGGCTAGCCTGTGGGTAATGAAGAATGCGGTCTCACAGGACATGTGACCATGTCACATGATACTGGAATCCATCCTAAATCTGGTACTTGTCCATTTAGAAGGAGGGGTGGGGACCCAGAGAAACAAAAGATTTCTGCCTTGTGCCAAACCTATAAAAGGGGGTGGAACAGAACAAAGGGGCGGCCAGTCATGAGAAAACCCCTAGTTTCCACCTAAGATGTCTGCTGGAACTAACAAGGACTGTACTAGGGGAAAGGACTGGGCCCAGACTAGGAAGGAGTCTAGTCTGTGAAAGAAGCTTATTGGAACATCTCTGAGGGTGAGATTTTACCTGTAATCTTAATGTATTAGGTTTAGACTTATGTGTTTTTGCTTTATTTTGCTTGGTGACTTACTTTGTTCTGTCTGTTATTACTTGAAACCACTTAAATCCTACTTTTTATACTTAATAAAATTACTTTTGTTTATTAATGAACCCAGAGTAAGTGATTAATACCTGGGGGAGCCAACAGCTGTGCATATCTCTGTATCAGTGTTATAGAGGGCGGACAATTTATGAGTTTACCCTGTATAAGCTTTATACAGAGTAAAATGGATTTATTTGGGGTTTGGATCCCATTGGGAGCTGAGGGTCTGGGTGCTGGAGGCAGGTATTCTGCTAAGCTGCTTTCAGTTAAGTCTGCAGCTTTGGAGGTGTGGACCAGACCTGGGTCTGTATTTGCAGCAGGCTACTGTGTCTGGCTCAACAAGGCAGGGTTCTGGAGTGAGCACAAGCTGGCAGGGAAAATGGGCTGAGACGTAATCTCAGCACGTCAGGTGACAGACCCAAGGGGATCTCTGTGACCAAATCCATCACACCTCCCAGCTTCTCTTCCTGGCCCTTAGCACCAGGACTCCAGCAGGGCTCCCCCACTGGGTGGGGATGTGGATGCCTCAGCACATTGTCTCCTCTGAGGGTGGTGGGTCCCCAAAAACAGACCAGTTAGTGGGACTGCAGCAGGGAAGGAAGCTGTGGAATGTGCTGAGCCTGAGAGCAGGATGCAGCTTAAGAGCACAGGGAGAGGTATTGTGCACATCCCAGCACTTCCTTCCTTAGCTGCAGCCCCGCAAAGCTGTCTGTGGCCAGGGCCCTTTTTCCAAAAAGTTGTCAATAAGCAGCATGCCTGTTGCCAGTAATTGAATGCCATTAACATGACAGTGTGATGAGGTATACAAACCCCACAGTGGCAACAAGGGATTAAGCCTCAGCCAGCCCCTCCCAGCCACACCTGCAAGAGATGCACAGATTGGGGGAGGAGTTAAAAGGGAGCACAACCGCTCACTTGGTGATAGACCATGGCAGAGAATAGACCTGTAATTGCTAAGGGAAGGCAGGCTCTCTCCCATCAGCAGTTGCTCAAAGGTCCCTCCCTGAGAGAAGGGAGGATCTGTTTCAGGTACACTCTGAGAGGGAGGCACTTCCCCATCCGCCCCCTCTCTAGTATGAACTCTGTGTTAATTCCCGTTTGTGTTGTTTATGGACTACCCTGACAGGGGAGAGACTTGGAACTGACTGGACCAGATGGCCAAGTCACAGGAGGAGGCAGCTGCTACCCTGAGAGGGAGTGCTCCCATGCCAAGCCTGGACATGAGGAGGCACCCAGCAGTGAGCTGACCTGCTTCACACCTCCTTGCTGCAGACTGAACTTTGGACAATAGTGGGGTGGTAGGAAGTGCCCAGGGAGGGCAGCCTTAAGGTGCTCCTGGGTGTTAGACCTTACAGATCTCACAGGGTCCTGGAGGGGAGTGGGAGGGCTTGGGCTCCCCTACCAAAACCCTTACCCGTTAAGTCCTGACCATTAGGCAATACTCC